AATGTGTCTCCAATACTCTCAGCACATGGGAGTTCTTTCTAAGCTTTCTTTGATTGTGTATTTTTCACACTAAGATGTGCTATAGACATTTGATGATGGTCAATTTTGATGAGATAATATTCTTTATGGACTGGATACGGCTTTTGTGACCTGACCTTGTATGGCAGAGGTGCCCAAGCTCGCAAGGGTGTGTAAGCCGTACGACCGAGGGCGCCAAAAGCTGTATCCAGTCCTTAAAGGTTTTATTATAAACTTTATTTAATTACAATTTTACTATGGCGGGACCTCAAACATGCGTCGTAATTTAGAATGATGGGTTTTGTTTTGAATAATGAAAGCCGGGCACACTAGGCCAGGCATGGTTGACTTTCATCAAATGATTTGCACTCTGTCTTTGCATATTTGTGTAATTCATAACTGATAATTTTTTGTTTCTGTTTGATGGAAAGGTTCCAAATCAACATTGGATATATCCAGAGTGAAACAAGTAGAAGTTATTCCAGTTAAAAAAGCAAGGAAAGTTACACCTGACCCTGAACAGAAATGCAAGTATAGCTACTTATATTTTATTAAACAATTAGAGAAATTAACATTAATTACATAATATCATTGTTGACTGCCATGTTTATCACTCTAGTAGTACCTGATGTCCAAAACAGGGACTTGTGTTTTCTCAAACATGTCTGGACCAATTTTGTTCAGAACAAACGCAGGTCATACATGTAAGAGACATATTATTGTTGATAAGCTTTTCATTCTTCGACCTAACTGGTGGCCATTTACGTTCCAACTGTTCAATCAACCTCTTTCTCGGGCATGCCTTGGGTGATTTTATTCAATCTTGCTATTAGCGTCACACGTGATGCAATACTCAGTGTTCCCCCCAGCATTCAATTTGTGTGCGGGGCCGCCACGCTGCTTTTCCTGCCCGCCACTGTGGTCTTGAGCCGCCACGGTGATTAGTAAGACCGCCACAGTGCTTTTTTCATTGTTCATCCTGTGAACTGTATTACGAAATATAGAAAGAAATACGTAGCTATCAGGAATCTTTCTACGCTTCCGACCAGGACTATTGTCCGACGTACCGACCGACACGCATCCTGCCAGTCGTGGATTATAATTTGTAAACAATAGATGTAGTCGCACGATGTGGTAGTGGCTTATAAACAATACAAGTTAATTTTGTAAATACTTTAACGTTCGACATAGTCTTTAGATTGAAAGCTAACATTTTTTCAAAATCAATTCCACCCCGATATAACATGGGCAAAGCGGAGTTCACGATCTGTTTACGCTACTCAAGAAAAAAACGTGTTTATTGCGTGATTGGGTAAAATACATTTGAACTTTTATCATCGCGAATCATGTAAAAACTCTTCTTTCAAGACTTCTTTTACCTTTTAAAAATTGCTTATCACCTATTTCGAAAACCATCATGCAGTTTTCATCTGAAATCCATACCAACACATCGTGCTACGACATCGCTTTACTTCCGCAATGTAATTTTTATGATCACTACCATTCGGAAAACTTCGGGTTCTGCCGGCATTACCATGCGGTATTCTGATTGGTTAATGGCGTTTTTGACCCATCGGGTCAAAGGACTAATACGTCACAATTATCATGGCGGTCTT